GGCCCCCCGCAGGGAAAGAAGAACTAGTCTTCGTAGCTTCTCGCAAGAGCAACAGGAAGCACAGGATCTAATCCTCTGGTATCAGGGCGTGGGCAAAGGCGTAAGTGGAAAATTTATGGCCGGGTAGCTATGTCCCAGAACTGGGCTGCCCAGGACAGTAGCCGTTGAGCACTGGAAAAAGTGGATATGCAACTAAGGAATTTGTATTTAATTTTAGTGCAGATAGTCATATGGGTAAGTGGCTACCATATGGGACAGTCGGGTGTAGAGCATGCAGAACAGGGCAATGTTCCATTTAAAAACCGGATCTAGAGGGGCGCCTGGGTGGCTCAGTTGGTTAAGTGACTGCCTTCGGCTCAGGTCATGATCCTGGAATCCCAGGATCGAGTCCCACATCGGGCTCCCTGCTCAGCAGGGAGTCTGCTTCTCTCTCTGACCCTCTTCCCTCTCGTGCTCTCTCTCATTCTCTCTCTCTCAAATAAATAAATAAAATCTTAAACAAACCAGATTTAGAAGTGTGATGGTTGGGAAGCATGGATACATGACTGAGGCCTGCCTGGTAGCCCCTGAGGGCTGGGGGGGACACGGTCCAGTCCTGGAATTTCAAATCTCAAAAGTTCTTAGGCCCAACCAGCTGATAGTTTATTTTTCCTAAACTAAAATGTTCAAACCAGCTGATGATGGTGGGGAAAGGTATGTTCTGTCTCAGCCAAATGCTGGGGTTCAAGGCAGCTGGCAAAGCATCTTAATGCTTTTATACATTTTATGTACAACCGTCCGTTAATGCCAGTTACACGTAGAGTTTTGTTTAAACACCAGGATTCTTAGGCTTAAGTACACCAAACACCCAGGCCTGGGAGCCTTCTACTGTAGAGTGGAGTGTTCCTGAACCCACCAACCTACAGTTCTGTGGCTGCCCTTTGATGTTCTGAGATACCAACTTCTCCCTGAGGGGCTGGTGGGGGAGGGGTCACGGGGTCTGAAGCTGGAGGGCCTGCCAGGTGGTCACACTGTTCTCTGCTGTTGCTGCAGCAGAGTTGTTAACATGTGGAAAGCCAGGCTCTAAAACGCTATTGAAAAACTAAGCCCCGCTCCACACACTTACTGCTCGGAGCCGGAAGTGCTGCCTCGGCGAGGGGCCTGGGCGCAGCCTTGTCTGCATCCGCTCTCCAGGGTGGGCACCGGGTTTCAGAAGAGCGCCTGCCCCAGGGCAGTTGGCTCTTCCCTCTCTGGCCTTCAGTGTCCCCATGTGAGGACTAAAGGTGTTGAACTTTAGTTCAGAGGTTATGATTCGGGAGATGAGCCCAGCCCACAGCGGAGGACTGGCATCAGCTATGGGTTATCAGGGTGGCTTGTGTTGCAGGTAAGGGCTGAGCCCCAGCGGCTTCAGACAGGAAGGGAACGGTCTGTTTCATGGAAGCAACAGCCCAGAGAGGGTCAGTAGCAAGGCCACCCAGGGCCCTCTCATCATTCGCCCTGACTTGTGGGGTGTGGGCTCCCCACTCAGCATTCTCACTGGGCCACGGTCCCTGTCTCACCTGAGTGTCTACCTGTGGCCAGAAAACGGGCTATACTGGGTGGTCTCAGCTGACCTGACCACCATAAGCGGGAACCATGGAGTCTGCTTGAAGGCACGTGGGCACGTGGTGGACACCCGAGCAGAAATCTGGATAGTGGGAGGGGGGTTTGGAACGGACACCGTGTGACAGTGAGTGCCCACTCAAGGTGAACTTGGGTTTTTAGGTTTTCTGGGGCAAAGAATCCCAAGATGTGCCCCCACTCTGCCTTTTCCTACTCAGCTGTAATCAGCTGGTTGTGGGCTGTTGCTGACCAGGCCCGAGGCCTTCACTGCCCTTACGGTCTCGTGGGTAACCTGTTCCACGCTCATAACGACATGCCTAGCCCACGTTGGTGCCTGGTTTCGTCACTCGATAACCTCCCGTCGTGTTGAGTCACTCCAGGCCAACACCATGCTGGTTGCCAGGAGGGGACACAGAACAGGCACCTGGCTGTGCCTACGAGCCATAGGTTCTGGCCTTTGTGAAGTCTGAGGGAAAGCGTGAGAAACATCGTGCTGAGTCCGAGCAAGGCCCGCAGCGTGTGTAAGGAGTTTTTCTGCCGTTGCCTATGGGACGTCGGGGAGCTCGGCTCCGCAGACATGCGCTCGCACATGGCCTCCGGTGCTGTGGGCCCTGCACTGCGCGGGTAGAGAAGGTGGCTCCCAGTCTGCGGAGGCCTGTCAGCCTGTGCCGAGAGGCTGAGGGCTCTTCAGCCTGAGCTGAAGGCAGAGCCCTGTTGAGATGGGTCCGGTCCAGGGACACAGGACAAAGGAAGAGGGAGACGGGACTGGGGAGTGCAGAGACAAGGGACCCCAAGCCCCATGACACGGCCTAAGGGAGGCAGCGGAGGGACGGGCTCAGCTGGAACATTTGGAGGCAGCCAGCAGGACAGACGGGCTTGTGGCATCAGCCAGCACGAGGGATGGGGCTGTGTGGTCAGGTTTGAGGTGGGAAGATCTGAAAACACTTCTGAGTGGGATGTGCACTTGCCTCCCTGATGGAAAGAGGCAGTGCCACACGTGGCCTGGAGGTGCGCTTCACTGACAGAAAAGGGAGCAGGGGAGGAGGGGCAGGTTTGGGGACAGCGGTCAGTTGTGACCACAGCAGTGGGCTCAGTGGAGGTGCGTTAAAGAAGGGAGAAACCTTTCTGAAAATGTCCTGTTTTTAAGTGAACATTGAAGAATACCATGTAAAGGAAATGCTTGACTTTTCACAAAGCAACTGCGTATAACTAGCAGCAGATCGAGAACTAGAACGTTCCCCGCCCCCCCCACACACAGACCAGCCCTTCCCCCAGTCCAGGCTGGCCCCTCTGGCGTGGTCCTCACACGAACCGAACGTGCAGCGTGCCCTCCTGTGGCGCCCCGTTGCTGTGTGGCGGTCACTGGATGGAAGACGGTTGTCCCTTCTCCTGGTGACAAATGTTTAGGCCGTTTCACGGGACTGCTCTGAGTGTCCTGGTGGGGGGGCTCTCTGCCCGTTGCACGTGCGCGCTGCTGGGACCGGCGGTGGGGGAGGCTTGCCGGGGTGCAGGGTTCGCACCGGGACCCAGGTTCGGCCCAGCGCTGAATGGCTGCAGGCTGTCCTAGGTTACTCTCGCCGTCCCCCCTCACAGGAGCTGTTACTTCTTGCCACTTGGCTTTTGGTGGACTGTGACGCATCTCTGCTGCTGTGTTTGCTTCTCTCAAGTGTCCGGGCCAAGTACTCGGATGGCACAGCTCGTGAACATGTAGCTAAATTCGTTGTCGAGTTGGGTCAGTCAGGGCTCCGGAGGCCCTCCTGGGCACAGGCCACCACGCCTTCCCCTGGAGGGCAGCTTGCGGGTAATCGGGGAGGGTTGTGTGTCTGGTTTCCAATTCAGGGTGCACAGAGCTTTCCTCAGACTTGAGGACGCACCCGGCAGGGAGACGGTTTGCCCCCAAGGAAAGGCAGCGAGAAGGTGGTTCCCAGTGAGAGTATCAAGGAGCAAGAGGGCTGTGTGCCTCTGGGGCCAAGCACATGCCTCCAAGAGGCCACACCTGGGGAGTCTGCTTGGCAGGAAGTGTGCTTTCCAGGCCGGGAGGACACAGGCAGCCTCTTCCCGGTGGGATCCAGTGCCTCCCCCGTGAGGGGCTTTCTGCTCTAGGCCCTACACCGCTGCCGGCGGTCTGAACACGCGTGGCACTGCAGGGCAGGCATCCTGGTGCTTTTTAAATAAATTATAAATTAGCCTGTAACCATCATATAGAGTATGAGCGCTTCCCCAGAAATGGCTTATTCTGAGCCTGCTGGGGAAGTGCAGCACACCTCGTAGGAAGAAACCACTTTGCAGCCATTTAAAGCCCTATTAGGATGTGCTGAGCAGGGCAGCTGCTTTGTGCATCAGTGATGAAAAGTAGACACTGAATCGGCGTGCAGGGCTGACTGGGGTGCCTCCTAACGCCGGCGCTCCCCATCGGGATGAGCCTGCTGACCTGCCGGCCCCAGGGCTCTCGGTCACGCCCTGAGGTCCTCAGAGGCACAGAGACAGCAGGTGCGGGTCTCAAGTGGCCCAGGTGCCCGCAGGCCCTCTTCGACTTCAAGAGTCTGTATGTCCAGCACCCAGGAGGAGCCAGGCAGAAAGCCCTGACCTAGACTTCCGCCTCCAAGGATGGCCTTTGACCCCCAGGCTGGCAACAGGCGGTCAGAGGAGCTGTCTGGTCAGAGGTCACAGGAATCCTGGGAGCTTTCAGGTCGGTCAGGTCTGGTGTGGCGGCCTGTGGCTCGGATGGTGTCACACTGCCCTCTCCTGGGCACCGTCCAGAGAATTAGCCCCACAAGCTCAGGCCAGTGAGTTCTCGAACAGCCAGAGCAGATTTACAGCAGTGTAAAGCCTGCAAGCTTACAGAATGAAGGACAGAAGGTGCATACGCCCCCGTGGTCCCTGGCCACACTGGGAGGCCCCCAAGTCCCGGGCTCTGGCAGTTCCTGAAGGCAAAAACCAGTGTTGGCATTGTTCCCTCTTCCCCCTGCCTTCTGGAACTTCCTACCAGATCTCTGGCCAGCTGTTGGCACCAGTCTGTGGGCACCAAGACCCAACAAGGTCTTATTCTTACTTACTGTCTTTTGATGGCATCATTCAGGATTGGGCTCCAAAAACCCAACTGCAGTCACTACAGGTGTGCAGCCGAAGGGCCATCGGTGAGGAGCAGCCCGTCCCAGCCTCCCTCAAATTCTGAGTCGTTCCAGCACTTGTGAGGGTCCCTCCCTTAGGTTTTCTGTTCTTGTCCTTACTCTTTAAGTGACTTTAGAAAGACACTGAGATGATCTCAAATGGACAGAGACTAGGGGGCACTTTTTAAAACCGGCATTAGCCATATATAGAGTCCCTTGTGCTTTAGATGGCTTTACCTTCAGGTCTTACTAAAAATATCCCAATTTCATGAGCCTTCCATAAACTTCATCTTTATCTATTCTTCACAGAATGATGCAAATGGGACAGCAAAGCCTCCTTTCCTCAGGTATGTTGACCTTTGTCCATGGGGGCTGTGCAGCCCAGGAGGCCCGACCCTGAGAGGCCTCGGGCCTGTGGGGTCTGAGGAGGATGCGGCCACCCTGTTCTCATCAGGCTGGGGAGGAGGGCCTGGAGGCTCTGCCAGCATCTGCCCGGGTCCCAGAAGGAGGCGGCCTGGTCACGGGGGCGATGGGCAACTGAATCCAGACCCTGTCCTAGGTGGCTCTCCCTTTACAGCATCTACAGTTCTGGAGAGTTCTGTAACTCAGAACTGCCACAGAGAAACGTTCATGTTCACAAAGCGTCCGGAATTTTTTATAGAAGCCATAGATTTTCACAGAGCAAGTGAGAGTAGTTCATGCCTCTTTTAAACTCAAATTTCCATCTCGTAGTATTTCTGTAGCTGCGTTTTTCCTCCCCCTGCAGCGGAGAGAACCCCTTCGCTACCGTGAAACTCCGACCGACGGTGACAAACGATCGCTCAGCGCCCATCATCCGATGAAGGGCAGCTCCAGTTCCTCCGTTAAGTTCTCACTTGCAAAATGATACAAGTTGTTCGACGTGCTGTAACTGTTGTAAAGCTTCGCCAAGGGTGCCTGATTTTAATTGTATTCTACTTGAGCAAATCAATGCATTCTCTCAATTTAACATAGTTGGGTTGATACATTTCCATCTTTAAGAAGATAAAGAATAGTTGAGTTAGAAAGAATAGTTATCAACTCATTTAAAAATATATGTTCTGTTCAGAAGACAGTAAATTTGGTTCCAATCCTTACTGTATCATTTTTAAAATATTCTATGATTTTTTTTTTTAATAGCCAGAATAAGGGATAGTCTGTGCTTTCATGATTGGCTTTCTGCACCTGAATGCAGAGGAGACCAGTTTTATTTTATAAAGCATGTGCTCTCACCCAGCATTATGACGTTTATCTAAAGGAAATGATGTGTAAATTTGCATCGTAGCATGCAAATCATAATTGTAAGCAATATAAATTATGAGACTTATATAAACTTTAATTTTTTAACTTAAAAATCTTAAATTGGTTAATCAGATGTAGAGCTACCTAAGATGGAGGAATCCCCAAGTTTCTTTTGATTTAGACGTACCTATAGAGCGTGCGTTTTGCCTGACCCTGTCATAGCCATGATGTTTAGTACTCAAATAATCCCAAAGCTACTGAGTTTAGTAGTTTGGAGTTACCAGCTCCCCGACTCAGTGGGAAGAACGCACCAAGCCGTGCTGCACGTGGCCCTGGCTCAGGGCGTCAACATGTGTGTGAGGGCCCCACACGAGCAACCCCAGGGTGTTCTCGCTGTGCTCGTTGATCGAAACTGCCCCCCCTAGCTAGTGTACTTCATTTCTGAAATCGGATACTGACCCCCCTCCCGCAAAGAGCACGTAGAAAGCCAGGAGCCTGAGTGTTGGCGGCTGGGATGGGAAGGTCTGCATTTCATCCGAGACCTGCCATCACAGCCTCAGAACTGGGAACTCTGAGCCAGTGGCCGAGTTTACCTCTGCTGCCAGGGACTGGGCCCTGTTTTGGAGGAGTGCAGAATCAGGATGCACCCCCAGGCCATTCACTGTGGGTGCAGAGGGCCTTATTTATCACAGCTCTGTTGGTCTCGCCATAAATATCAACATTTTTCTATAAACTTGAAAGTGGTCACGGTCAAATGCAGGTAAACCAGTGGAAGCGTGTGACACTTCACGTTCTTGGTCCTGTCCTGGCTGCCAGGCGAATCGGGCGACCCCGAGGGCTGAGGAGTCAGACCTACGTGAGGGTCTTCCAGGCCGAGCTGGGCTGAGTGCCATTGGCAAACAGCACACCTGTCCTGAGAGAAGACGCTCCAGCCAGTAAACCACGGTCCTATCTCGTTCAACGGTCCACTGCTTCTCTCACCGTCTAAGAGGAGGGTTCGCAGCAGCTCAGTATTTGCAATGGAGGGGACAGGGGGAGGCCTCCCTGACCTCCAGAGCTCTGCTCTTCGGGATCCTCCGGCTTTGTGACAGACTCTCAGGTGCGGTCTCCGCAGGCTGGCTTGGCTCACCCGATCCGGTCTCAGCCTTCACAGAACGGACTGTGGTAGGCACTCGCCTGCCTCACCGAGGAGGGGAGGGCTTGCCTCAGGTCCTGGGCACAGAGGTGCGTGCTAAGTGTCAAGGCATTAGGTTTCGTTATATTAATAAAAATTTGGGAAGCACTCTCTTGAGCTGTGATTGTCTACGGAGGACTAGATCAAGACCTGCCAGGAGCTGGATGATGCTGAAGCCAGGTGATGGGGATGTTGTTCTAGTCTGGTTACAGAAAATTTCAAACATGTACACGCGTTTGTTTATACAAGTAGCAGGGTGCACACGCTGAAGAAGCAGAACCAGGTAAACAATGGTATGAATCTCGTTTATTTAAAACAGTATTTCTCAGCTTTCTCAAATTGAAGACTGCAAAAAATAAAAGCAGTGCTTTATTGAGCTGTCATTCACCCCGGAGCAGTGCCGCTGTGTCCCCACGCTGTGACCCCTGCGCCCACGAAACTGCAGCTCATGCCGTCTATCCCACCTCGCTTTACAAAACAGTCCTGAAAGCTTAATCAAATAAAGCTACTGTACACGACATTTACATTAGAAAAAGACAGCTGGATGTAGGGAAGCCGGGTGTGGTGTTCCCGTTAAGTGAAGTTTGCTCCACAGTTGGGGCATCTTCGCTTCCTCAAGGCAAAACAGCAGATGAACCCAAATGGGAACAAGATGATGGCCAAGAAGATGCCCAGGAAGGTGAAGGAGTCCTCCAGAACCCCGACTCTGTGGAGAGAAGAGAGGGGCACTCGCGTTAGGGCCCTTGGCAGAGCCCCGCACGAGAGGGGACGGAGAGCGTGAGACACAGGGCCCCTGGTGCATCAGTGACTGTGTCCCCAGCAGCAGCAGCAGCCTTTGCCCCTCCAGCAACGAGCTCGCCGGCCTGCTGCGCGTGCCGGTTCCACCAGCTACTGCTGCTGCTCCAGAGTGGGGAGGGGAGGGGAGTTAGCAGAAGGAATCCTCGCTTGTAATGACAGCGTTCCCTCGCCACGTTACCTACCGTGTTTCCTCCTCCACTACAAAAGGACGAATAAGAAACAAATGCTAGTTTCTATAAAAATTCTTGTCTCTCTGAAAACTAGACCAAGAAAACCGAATCATTTTAGGATATTTTTTCCCCACTATTGAAAAGTTTTATTCTTCCATCCCCTAGAGAGAAATTCCAAAAACTTAGAATTCTGTTTCAGGAGAAGGTTACAACAGATTTTACTGAAAGATTAAAATCAGCCAAATTCAGTGTCTATAGGAAGACTGCTTGAGAAATTTGTTTCCTCTTCACAAAGTCAAGTTTACATGTGCATAACACACACGCCTAGGGCTATCACCCCAACCATGTGCGAGGAGTATAGGTTCAGTGACCTGTCACCACTCACATTCCAGAGTCATTTTCAAAGGCAGGAAGCAGGAGCCTTGCGCTCAGCTCTGCCACTGCTTCTTAGGCTACTTCTGGAAAGCTCTGGACACAGAGCTGAAATTAAAGTGGTAACCGCAAGAGCCAGCTCAGCCCTGATGAGCAACGTTTCACATTCCGGAAAGCCAGGGAAAGTCGGTGGAAACAAGTTCCTCCCCAGGCGGCCAGGGACACCTTCAGCCTCGTCCACCACGCTGTGAGCCGTGGGCCTTTGTGAACAAGGCACTTCACCGGAATTCACCAGAACAAATATGCCAAAATCAGCCGGGGCGATGTACTGAGAAGGAAGGAGGGACTTCAGGGAAGGTGTCACTCCCTGCCGCACTCCCGGGGCCTGCCTGCCTTCATGGGGTGGACCCCACTCCCAGACCACCCCCGCCTCCCCGCATTCACCCCAGCTGCCTCAGTGTCCCTGAAGCCACTTCCTCCTCTACCCACACCTCAGCTCCTTTGTCTTCAAACACTGCTAAGGATCTCCTGTGCCCACAATGTTCTGGAAGCAGCTGCTGCTCGTTTTGCCACCGTGTGTGCAGAGGAGGAAAGTTCAGCTTAACAGAAGGTCACGTGTCAAGATGAAGCACCCAACAGAAGACTTCCTCCGCCCCAAATGCCACACCTGCCACGGCCGCCCCTTCTGAGCTCCGCTCCTGCCCACGCTGGGCCAGGGCTCCAGCCCGCACGCCCCAGCTGCGCAGAGAGCAGGTGCCAGGCTGAGAATCGTGGTACTTGTAAACTAGACTCTTAGGAAGCCTGGCTTTCAACTCCTTAAAGAAAAAGTCACACTCGATGCCCGCTTCCCTTCCTACCCCCTCAGGAGGGAGTTGCCTAAAATGTCTACAAAGGACAGTGCCCTCTAGCGGCACTTCCCAAGGGGCTTGTCCTAAAACACCAGTTCCCCTGATAAGCTCTGCAGAAAAGGACTTTTTTGATTAATTTGAGAAAACTCTTCCCCCTGCCCTGGAGTCACAGTGCACAGTTTAGGAAAGGCTCTGAGAAGTCCCGCAGTAAAGACCCCTGTTGAACTGTTTCAGCCGGCATTTCCCAGACTGACCTGTGTGCTGCCCAGTCAGCCTGCACACAGGCAAGGCCGGATCTGAGGGCAAGCTAAACAGGCCTGAATTTCCACCAGCAGAGTTACCTTTTCTTGTCTAGACTGCTATGAAAGTCTTGTATTAGGAGTCCCCTTTCTAAGGACTGCCAAGGTCGTCGGGTCCCCACATTGTTCCTTGGCCCTCCTGTGGCTGCCCCTGCCCGTGGGCATCCAGACACAGCTGTGCAGAGCCCACACCACACCCGCCCCACCTGAGAAAGCATCAGAGGCCATGCTACCCAAATCAGGGGTGAGGCTTCAGGGAGGCCCTGGGCCACACACAGGGACAGGAACGCACCTGCTCTGTCCACAGTCCTCGCCAACAGCTCCTGCAACGACGGCTGCGAATCAAGCCACTTTCAGACCAGCTAGAGGCAGCCAGGAGGCCCTGGACCACTCAGAGCTTTGGTGCCACCCAGTACCACCTGCAGCTGAAATCCCAAGAGTCACACCAATTCACAGGGTCGGTTAGAATGCCCAAGGAAAAAAGCGAGGACAGAAGTGAGCCAGGCCTCATAGATGGGTCACAAGCACCAGCTGAGAACCTTCCAGAGAGGCCTGCCCTCTGAAGGAGTTAGGAGGGTGCCTCGCCCAGCATCCCCTTCAGGGGCAAGTGGGGCCCAAGGACAGGGACTACCTGGCTGAGCACCTCCCCGGCTGAACACTCCATGTCATCCCACTTAAGGATCAAAGCCATTAGGCAGCACAACCTAGAACCCAGTGTGTCTGCTCAGAGGCTCCAGATGTCTGGGAGGAGGCTGGGGCCAAGGCATATCCTGCGGTCCTCAGTGCCTGGGGCAGCCCTCCGAGCCCAGCGCAGTGTCCCCACAGTGGGGGGGGGGGGGGGGGGGCAGGAGCTACGGGTGCTGCCTGGCACACCTCCCTACACGAACCCCCCATCGGGAGGGCAGGCAGCTGTTGCGGGCAGCTTGCCCCAGCTGCCTTTTCCCGGGTGCTCCGCGGAACTCGGGGTGCACGGGGCGGGGGGGGGACACACTCCCCCAGGCCCTCCGTGCCCGTGAGGCTGGGAACCAGCCCTGCCCAAGCACAAAGATTCCCAGTGGCCCCCACAC